AGGGATAAGTCTTCATCCACAAATTAAGTTTTAGGTGATGGAAACAAACCACTCCCCATGGCAAGTGACTCAGCAGTTGCCTGTTTCAGTGACTATTCAGCATCATTCAGTTGTCCTTCCCTCTTTCAAGGTCTGCAGTATTAGTGACAAAGCACTGAAGGAAACAGATGTTTAAAACTGTTACGGTATAGCAACTCATAAGCACCCATTTTTTATTGGTTTCAGCCGTGACGTGAATGAGCAAGCAACTGACTTCTCACAGATAGAAGCAACTCCAGCTTTACCCACTTAACATATTACTGATCCTTACAGTTGTTCAGATCAATACACAGTGTTTAGAACTCAACAGTGCCTTAAATTTATGATTAGTCCACGCAGTAAATTGTCTCTAAAGTTATTTACATGCACCATCTCATGCCCATCCAGTCCAAGTGAAGGAAGATACTCTGCATTCTGGATTTCACCCACCATAATCATGATGTTCATACCAAACTTTACCAAACAAACAAAATAATACTTCAACCCACACAGTAATTAAGATTTCTGTTGTTGCTACTTTGAGAAACACCTCAACCAAGCTGTACTCAGCTTAAGTATCCTGTAAAGCTGCAATCCCATCATGCAAGAAACACATAACAGCATATCAAATATCCATGCAGAAGCTGCATATTATACATTAGACTCTCTGGCCCTAACACTTGAGAACTTTTTCCCCTGGAGCAAGTGTAAAGGTCCTCAGGCCTGGAAATGGAATTATAATGGCAATTCCCATAAGATGACAGGCATAGATGAAACATCTGCACTACTTCCACAGCAGTCTGCTGCTTTGCTCCCAACAACCTTATAGTCTAGTTAATCCACTTGTAGGAACTGCTCTGTCAGATCAAAGCCAGCTCAATATCCTGTCCAAGTCTTCAAAAGAAGGTGTAAAACCCTATAACAAGCAGTTACACAATTATCTGCCTAGAGGGAAGACTTCTGACTAAGCCTTGGACAGTTAACAGTTGGCTTATGCTTTAAACCAGGGGAATTCATAATCCTTTTTTTAAATCCTATCTAATTTAACCTTCTCAACCATAGGTTGATTTATTTAATCTCACGCAATGTTTGATCTCCATACTATTGCAGCAAGCTCTCCCAGGTTAATTATATGAATTTCAAAAGGGCATTTCTTTTATTGCAGTTAAACTTGTTTCCTTGGCTTCCTTAACTACCCTCCGACCATAGCAGCAGAGTTAGTACTTTCACTTTGCTCCTCTTGTGTGTAGACCTGTCAGGCCCAGTTCCATCAGTCTCTGGACTAGGAAGAGGTTGGAGTCTTTTCCTGGGAGCAGAATACCACATCTTGCATGGTCTTTCCTGAACCTGTCTTTTCTTGAGTCACTCTAGAAATTAAACAGGCAGCAGTCCCCCCAGCTGGGAAAGACCAATGTGAATACCCCATAGCTTATGTTCCTCTCTGCCCATTCAACATTCCTATTAACTGCTAAACTGACAACCCACATCATCTGCTACTCAAAGCAGGGAGGAAAAAAATCCATCTGGATGAAAGAAAGCTATCTCAGCTTTAATTGCACGAAAACAAAGCAGAGTTTGCTGGACTGAGAGGAGATTTAAGGCCTTTTAGATCAACAGTTCTTTAAAGCAAGAAAGCACTTCTACAAGTAAAAAGCTTGAGGCAGGTATTACACCATTGTGTTTCAAGGACCAGCAACAGCAGCAACACAACCAGCATCAAACCAAGGAAAGGAGAGGTAAGAGCAAATCACAGCAGTGAAGTGTCCAGCTGTGACATACACAACACGAGCAGACTGTTTTCAAACACACAACAAATGCTCCCTAAGCTAGTTAACAACTGTGGGTTGCAAAACAAGTAAGAAGTGGAACTTCAATAACAAATCAACAAGTCCAAGACCAATTGTAGATGACACTGTATTTGACCAACTCTCCTTACGCTCCACTGCCAGGGACATCAGTGAGCAAGAATCATTATAAGCTGCATCATACGTCCCTTCCAGCTGAACCCCATGTGCAGTCTAGCGAAGATCTGGAAGCATTCACAAGCAGACAGGGAAAAAATTAAAATCAAGCACTGAAATAAATTCCTGACTAACATCACTTAATTCAGTAGCTGAGCTACAAAGAGCCACATCTCTGCACTGCACTACCCCTGCCTCTCTACATTCTTTACAGCAATTCACTTCTGCTGAAGAGCTGAACAGCCTTGACTTCATTTGCTCATGGTACAAAAAAAATTGGTCCTTCCTACATTTCCGGCCCCTATAGCAGCAATAAATTAATCCACTGCATTAAACTAGAATGTCACACAGTGTTTGCAAAGTGTGAAGGTTATCCTTGACAACCCACATGGCTCAAGTGTATGTTGAGATACAAGGATCAAGATCAATACTTTTAACAAGCTGAGTTGTACCACTTAATCACCTTCTGCATAGCATCTCCACAAGCCAGGAGGTGGGCCCAGATTCCCTGGCCTCTGGGCACCTGCTGCTACATAAGCTTAAAGGAGGCTCAAGGCCACTCATCCATTCAGCTAGTCATAGAGACACTTATTGTGCGTTTCCTAACCCCACTCCAAACTAACCTTCCTCCTCTTTTTCATCTCAACAAATAGAAACGCCAGCCACTAAGTGGCACAGATATTGAAGGAGTTGTAGAAACAAGCCATCCTTATCAATGGCAGAACTGTTTGCTGCTCTCCCTACCCTCCTGAGCACCATGACATTGGTTTACCCTCTTTGCTAGGCAGATTCTGGGAATAAAAAGCTTGCTCCAGTAAAGAAGTCTATGGGTCTGAAGCACTATAAAGAAAATACACAAGAATTTAGGCACAATTTTCCCTTTTCTATCACACTGATGACTGAGCAGTGCTGTAGCACAAGAGCATTGTCCTGACCCCAGGCAGTACACCAAAGTGTACCATAACCTGGCTTTTGTGCTCAGATACCTTCAGCACAACAGAAGGCTAATGGATCTAACAGAAGCCCAGGTTCACGTTTAACTGCACTGGGGGAGGAAATAGTAAGGAGGAGGCATAATTTCAGTATGAGTTCATACCCAAGTATGAACTCATCATATTTCTCTTTGCACTTGCTTCTTAAAACCACTGTAATCTGCAAGGATTTACATTTATGGTTCTTGGAAGAAAAAAAATTCCCTCTCAAAAACAGGTATTTAAACTGATTAAGGAACCTGCCATGAAGGGAGACTATGGGAGTGAAGAGCTTAAGAATATCTACTTTGGGGAAGAAGCAAATATGGAGATAAAAAGCAGGGAATCTAAGTGCACAGAGCAGGAAAATGGGCTCTCACACTGGAAAAGGACATCAAATACACTGACAAATTCAGAACGAACCTAGGGAAAACACTTTTTCACACAAGTCCACCTTGGCGGCTACTGCCCCATGAAGCTGCTACAGCTCAGAACCATTCTTCTTCCCCCTCCACCTTTCAATGATTTTAAGTTCAGGAGTATCTGTATTGCATACAGAAGCCTACAGAAGAACCCATAGTAGATCTGGTCACAAAACTGGAGAGCTGACAACAGCAATTCATTGCAGACAAGAAACATCATTGTGAGGAACAGGTCAGCCAGAGATTTAAAATATGCAATTAGATGTACTTATCTAAAATTATATGCCAAGTCTCCACAGCATCTCTTTCTGAACCTAACCCTTTTAGCTGGAATTGGCAATTACTCAAAGACTAACAATCTCAATTCCCACATTGTAACAATACAGCTTGGAATACAACTGAGGCAGAGTAGTATGGACAAGCCACATAAAAGACTCGAAAAGAGCACCAAGGGTTGGTATCTGGACAAAAAGACCAACTGTGAAAAGGGAAGCAATCTCAGACTCCTACACTAGCATGAGCCATAAGAGGATTTGAATGCAGATCATCTTAAGAGTCCTTCATGCAGCCCTTCACAGGCGCACCAAAATGTAACAGTCTCATCCAAAGATGGAGACTTTCCTCTTTACACAAGCAGATTTGCAGATACCTATAACGGTAAAAACAGCATTAGTCACTAGATGGAAACTGCAGCCATGGTTTGAGTGACTTGAAGATCATACAAGTGTAGAGCTAAGCCAGGACTCCTGACCTCCATCCATGTTCTACTTTCTAGTTGCAATCACCAAACCAAGTGTCTGAGGTAATGCTACAGAAGCTGTCAAGATACAAGTAGAAAGATGGACAGGTAGGATTAAGAAAAAAATCCTAGGGAGTTGCTTTAGAAGGAAAGGTGGTACAAAGTCTCACCTCCCTGGCTGTCCTCAATCCCTGCTATGGAAAGTTTTTACCCAAGAGAGCTTTCTCATCCTCAGTGGAGATACCTCAATGCCAGAAACTGCTTTCCATGGTGAAAATTTTGATGAGGCACACAGCAGAAGAAATTTATACAGCTATGGCTCTAAAGGACTCTACCTTCTGTCCAGAACTCAGAATTAGTTCCAAGTTCCATATGGCAGCCTGCAGTATGCCACTGATCCTTCAGCTGGCATCAGTACCAGAAAGAGATTAGGAAAAAGAGCTAACTCACTCAGGTTTTCTTGTTACAGGTAAAGGGGGGGGAAAAAAAAAAAAAAAATGCATGAAGAACTTCGTGAAAGGAAAAGAAAGCAAGATGATTCCCTTAAAATTTGAAGGATTCTAGAATCTTGTAAGCTCTGGATCCACCTCAAACTGCAGAGCTCTTGTGCGTAACAGCTGAGCTTCACACTTACACATTAACTCTGTTCAAAACAAAGGGATTATACAAAGTGCTTAGCTTGAAACAAACCATCTCAAGTTCTCCAGCAGTAGATCTTTTTAGCATTTTAAGTATGTGTCCCACAGTCAGACAACTGAACTGCCTCTAGCAAAATCAGTCAAGTCCCCTTGCTCTCATATCACCTCATGCAAGGTTGTTCAGGGCATTTAGCAAACACAGAGATTATGCTAACTGAAATACAACTCCCCAGACAATTTTGATTGCATACCAGGAGTTCATCCATGCTTGTCTGACACTTCTCAAGATTGATCCGTTTAATTGCCACCTTCTCCTTCTTTGGAGCGCAGAAGGCTGCCTGCACCACTGCAGTCGCTCCACTTCCTGTGGGTGAAAAAGAGAGTTAGCAACATCTTAGGGGACTTCAGCAAAAGGGAAGGTAGGTCAGACACCAAAATTACAAGTGCCAGTCAGTAAAGAAAGCAGAGCTAAGTGAAAACCCAGTGAAGGCAACCCCAGAGGCACTCCCCCACTCCAGGTCTGTCCAACCTGGAGGGTCAGCTCAGCTGCAACATCGAAGCGCTCGGCTAACCAAATGAGAACAAGTGGATCTTTATGAGCCCTTGGAGGGATCATTACAGCTCTGCAGATAAAAAAACAACCCTCCAGACTTCAGCTTACTTATAACAGAGGAGTGATTCTTCTTGTGTGCTTTTAAAAGAAGGGCCACTGAGGTCACATAGACTTTCAACCTGATGTGTTCACCCAAAGCACTGAAACAAGCCCCACTCTCTGCTACCAACACTAATGAGATTTTTCAGATATTTCTATGTACTAATTGCTGTTCTCCTCTCCTCATTTTATGCAAAGACACGAGGTAGGTTTCATTCAAGCCTGTTTAGCTCCAGTTGTCACATAGGAGCACACTGCCTCGGTGTCCGGGTTGGAAACCAGAGACAGAGAATGTTTAAATTCCAATAGGGAAAAAATACAACATCTGAGTATAGAGTTGTTCAAACTGGCCGAAGTGGGGATAAGAACTCTGGATTTAAACTGCTTGTCAATATCATATCCTTCGATATTAAAAGGAGTTTGCAACAGTGAAATTTAAGTTCTAGTTGATGTATTTGCTGGCCTCCAGGAATAGTTGAAACATTCACCTCGCATCAATAGGACACCTTGTTGCTTTACTTTCCCCCATCATCTTGGTTCCCTGCATTTACACACTTCACTGGAAGGGAATAAATTCAAATTAATGAAAAAGGGGGTAGGGTAGGTAGAAAATAGCTCAAGTACTGCCTATTGCCAATACCTTAAAAAAAAATTCTATTAAAAATAAACCCACAGGTATTTTGTTTGTTATTCCAGACATAACTCTTGAGCCCATTTGGGCTGATGAGGCAGACAAGAACAGCTATTCTGCATTTTGGAGTAACCCACCTATTTCACCAGAATCTCCTATTCTTACACTATAAAAACTACTTCTAGATTCTGCAGTACAGGTCAGGCACATTTTTGCAAACTGGGTTTTTTTTTTTCTAGTCAGTTCAGACAAACTGAGGACAAAAGCCTTCAATCTCATCTTCAAACAAAAGCTACTGAAGGCCCCTACAACCATTAATAGTCTTCTAGTGGCAAGTTGCACCAAGTCATGGTCAAACTCAAAGTGCCAGGTGGGGGAAAGAGCTTGAAATCCAGTCCTGAAACATAAACGAAAAACCCTGCCATCCAAAGTTACATTGAAATTACACAGCCCTGAACTGTGGGGTTTTGCTCCTCTAATCTCCAAGCAGTACCTGCTACAGTGAAACTACAAGAGTCTCATTTCACTTTATACAGCATTGCAAGTGCACCTTGGGCAATAGCATCAGCTTGGCTGTTGATTCCCTGCACTTAAAGAATTTACATTTTGAAGGCAGCAATGTACAGAACATTCTTATGTTCCCTTTAGCAAGGTTGCTGAAGCTGTACTTTTTCATGAAGCAAATGGGTTTTTAAGAAGTTCAAGACTGAGGCCATTTATTGCTTGCATTTTTCAGAGACTATTCATAGCACAGAGCACAACAAAGCTACCAGGAGAAGCTTAGGTGGAAAAAAAGGATAGCAATAGGGGCAAGAATATTTACAAGGAACTTTGAAAATGAAGTCTGAGTGCCATAAGCAGGGTCTTGAGCAAAGGATGGAGACAATGGAAGCGTTAGGCAGGCATTCAGAAAGCACTCAGAAAAGCAAGGGGAGGTTTGACAGCTGAGTGACTAGACGGCCAGGAGCAGGGCTGAAATACCCAGCATTAAGCATGGTACAAACATTCCAAAAGCAAACCTTCACATACACTCCCTGTGGTTGCTTTGCCCTGCAGGTAGCAGGTTCAGGACTCTCAACACGAAAGCAGCAGCCCTAGAACAGATATATTCCCACTCACTGGGAATCCTGGGTGGCAGTGACCTGCTCCTCCCCACCTAGTGCCTGCTTCTTTGTGGGAGAGGGGGAGCGAAAATATACAAAACGACCCAAAATAAAGACAGCAGAGCATACAGAAGTGGTGACAAAAGGCAGGAGAAGCAAGTTTGCATTTTCTAGCAGTAGCCTTTTGGAAATCAGAACCATAAAAACCAAAACACTTGTGCCTGTATCATTCCTTTGGAAATAATTAGATTCCAGAAGAAATGTTGCTGCCGACACATTCAAAGCACTAGTATCATGATTTCTTTCTTTGGATGTCTTTGTGCATAGTAACAGCCAGAGGCTGAAAACCCAAGCTAGATGCTGTAAGAACATGCGACTGTGCACCCCGGAGAACTGTCATGTCACCCAGCCCTTTTTCAACTCTTCAGTTAGTTTTACAATGCATATTTTCATCTCTAAAGCTATTTGCAGCGTTCTCATCTACACAAGAGTATCTGTACTCAAAGACTCTTCCTGGATATCTCAGACACTTAGTATACACCTCCTTCCCTCCACAACATGACATACACAGATTCTCCCAGTTGAACCCAGCTGCGTAAGCATGGCTGGCAGAAGTGCTTCTTACAATGCAGACATGATACCACTACTGTACATCTTAAGATGACAGTGAAGTCCAGGGTTTTTACAGAAGTGACTACACAAAGAATGGCTTTGTGTTTTAGTTTGTTTTTTTGTTTTTTTTTTTTTTTTTGAAGATGTTACTACCAGAAACAATAGATGCAGACTAATTAAAAGCAGGACCATGCATGCTACAGCTCTTTCTCACTCCTCAAGCCTGCCTGATTGATGTTCACTAGGACTTCAGTACCAAAACTCCTCACCAAGTGTTTGGACAATGCCCCAGCCTACAGGGACCTGACCTGTTATGAGTGTATGGCATTATTTGGACAGCAATGAAATCCCAAACTAAATCCTTCTGGGCACATGGCATGGAATCATCTGAACTCCAGGCTCCTCCCATTTAATTCCCTGCTGCTCCTACTTTTCTGGCAGCTCTCTTCAGTTCGATTACCACCTGCTCTCCCCACTCCCCCCTCTCCCACTAATTCGTCATTTCTTTCAGCTCCTCTGTAGCACTAATTATAGAGAAACAATGAAATCTCAAAAGCGTATCAAGCAAGGATTAAGCCAAGCTGCAGCATGATGTGCTACAAGCAAGCTGCTCTTTGGTAGCGGCAGCAGCATGCCATGCTTCTGGGACCAAACAAAGACAGGTTTCCATGCTTCTTTGAAGAGCACAGGAAACATAGCAACACGGCCACTTGAGGCTTTGCAGTCTGCAAGCTGTTTATGAAATTCCAGGGTGGTAAGAGAAGAAAAGGAGTAAGGATGCTGCAGCAAGGATGCTGACCACATTGCCAAGTGAAAGCAAGCACAGATAGAGATGATGACAGCAACAGGGAGGAAAAAAAGCCTGGCAAGCAAGTTTTTTTTTAAGTTTAGGAGCAGGTGACATATATATGGGGAAAGGCAGAATCACAGAATGGTTTGGGTTGGAACGGATCTTAAAAAGCACCTAGTTCCACACCCCCTGCCATGGACACCTTTCTCCTAAGGCCAGGTTGCTCAAAGCCCTGTCCAACCTGGTCTTGAACACTACCAGGGATGGGGCAGCCACAACCAAGGGAAGGGGAAAGAAGATATTTCCCTGCCTGCTATAAGCCACCTTTAATTAGAAAAAACAACAGAAGGGCTTTTTGTGCACCACAACTTACACAAACCAACACACACCCCCCCCCAGCAGATGCAGATCTGCTGCAATCGGAGCCAACCTCAGTCTCATGTGCTGCTCAGCTGCAGCGATGTGGCCAGCACTGAGTTAATGTTTCTGTGCTCAGTCCATGCGTGCTCCCCACCTCAAGACATGCTGATCAAGGTCAGTGCTGCAGTTCTTTGCCTCCCTCAAGATCAGCTTTCGGAGAAAATTCGCTCCCTGGTTAATCTTTTCCAGCATAACAGCTTAGCAAAACAAAGAAAACTGGGCATGGCCAGATGCTTGCTGCTTTATTCCTGGAAAGCAGGACATCATTTTGTTGAGGGATGGGGTAGGGGGAGAGAGTGGGGGAGGAAAGAGACCCTAGGTGGGTATTAGGATCTGTTTAATAGCCCCTCCTTTCACCTCTGTAGGCTCTCAGATACAGTTCCAACCCTTAGGATAGCAGCTGCAAAATTCCTGCATAAGAGGGTCACGACCTACTTTAGGAAACACTGCCTAAGGAGAAAAACATAACCTTTCTAACCCTTGCTTCTTTCATGTTGCTATGATTAAATGGTTCTTACTGAAATAAAATCAACCTCAAAAGGGATGAAAACAACCCAAACAAAAAATTCCCCAAGCACTCAGTTACTGAAACCTCATTTTCTGGTCCCCTGGATTTATGCTGGACCTTCAGCATCCAGAGCTCCATCCTAAACTTATTGAGAAGCTGGGACAAACTCCCCACAGAAGTCCACTGCTAGCCTTCAAGGGAGACTGGATACCATCTCTTCTGCAGTCACTTATTGTCACATAACTTACATGAAGCTTGCTTTTTGGGTTTTGGAAGTGTGTGTTTGTTGGGGGCCTGTCTGTTTTGGGGGTTTGGGTTGTTTGTTGGTTTGTTGGGGTTTTTTTTAAAGAAAAACAAACCCTCTGATATCTCTGTCAAAGTTAATAGAAACCAGTAATTTCAAAGCTATTTGGAGGAATGGAAAGACAGGGGACTGACCTGAGGACATAGCATGTTCGTATACACTCTGGCTCCAAAGGTAACAATCTTTGCAGCTACATAAGGACATCACAGTTCTCCCAGTAAGACTGGGATGAATTGCACTGATGCCTCCTCCCAGGCAAATGCAGTTGAAGCCAGAGGTCCTCTTGGCAGAGATATCGGCTTCAGCAATGGGAAGAGTTATGCCAAATGGTCACAAGACAAATA